AAATGATAGAGAAGCCTAAGTTTACAATAAAAGATGAGACACATTCGAGGGCAAGACCATAGTGTACAAACGATGGATAACCAACTAGCTTCAAAAACCTAAATAGCTAACAAAGAAAAGTCAAAAAAAAAATTTGAGTAGAGCGACCTATGTCTCTTATAGGTACCACGACTAACCATGGTGTTAAGTTTTATTTTAGGTACACTGCAACCACTAGCGAGAAAAGGAGAAAATATATGATGAGTCCTAAGTAAGTAAATACCAAAGACACGTGAAAACAACATTTTTCACAAATCCACCTCAAGTATGGTCGCCTTATAATAGACCATCGCCCGGATGCGAAATCCAAAGTCAAATGACCAATTTTCACTTTCGAGTAAGGTCGACCAACTTAATTTATCATGATAGGCAATGTTTTTTTTAGCTATTACTACATATTTAATTTTTCAAAACGACCGCCTTTATAATATGGTCATGTAATGTATATTTAATTTTTCAAAGTGACTACCTTTACAACATGATCTTGTATTGCATATTTAATTTTTAAACGCAGTATCGCCTTTACAACATGGTCATGTAATGCATATTTAATTTTTTAAGGCGATCGCCTTTGCAACATAGTCTTGTACTGCATATTTAATTTTTACAATATGGTCTTGTACTTGTATATTTAATTTTCTAAGGCGACCGTCTTTACAACATTATCTTGTACTTGTATATTAAACTTTCAAAGGCGACCACCTTTATAACATGGTCTTGTACTAGATATTTAATTTTCCAAAATGATCCCCTTTACTAACATGGTCTCGTATCGCATATTTAATTTACAAAGGTGATCACTTTTATAGTATGATCTTGTATTGTATATTTAATTTTTCAAGGCGATTGCTTTTACAACATAGTCTTGTACTACATATTTAATTTTCTAAGGACAACTGTCTTTACGACATGGTCTTTTATTGCATATTTAATTTTTTAAGGAGACCACCTTCACAATATGGCCTTGTCTTGTATATTTAAGTTTTCAAGGCGGATCGCTTTTACAACATGGTTATGTACTACATATTTAGTTTTCCAAGGCGATCACTTTTAAAATATGATATTGTACTATATATTTAATTTTTTAAGACATATCATCTTTACAACATGGCTATGTGCTTGCATATTTAATTTTTAAGGCGAGATCGCCTTTACAACATGGCGACGTCTTGTATATTTAATTTTTCAAGACAGACCGCTTTTCCAACATGACCACATACTACGGATTTAATTTTCTAAGCAAGTCGCTTTTACCACATGGTCATGTACTGCATATTTACTTTTTCATGCACAACATATTTAATTTTCTAGACGGGTCATCCGTCATAACAAAGCCAGTCCTATCATATTTTTGTTTTTCAAAGAAGGTTGCCTAAAACAACTAACCCAATCTAATAAATAAATAAATAAATAAAAGAAAAAAAATTTCTTTAAAATTTTATTTTCCAAATTCATTGAAAAATATATATTTTTTATTTGGCTTTGTGCCATAAGCATTGTAAAGAGGGTAAGCTGTCATAACCTAAAATTTTTTCATATTTTTAGTTATTTTATTTTTTTCTTACTTACTCTTATTTTATTTTATCTCATTTTACTTCATTTGAGAATTTACTACAAAAACTATAAAAAATGGAAAAAGAACCAAAATACAATATATATAATTCAAGATACAAAGAAAATTTCAAAAAAAAAAAAAAAAGAGAGAGAGAGAGAAAGAATAAAAAATGAGAGAGAGAGTGTGATAGAGAGAGATAATTTTCTTTACTTTTAAGGATCCCATTGTGATTTATTTTAAAGTACTATGGGTTAATTTCCAAATACCTAAAGCTAGAGGAAACTATTGAGCAAAATTAAGAGGCAATTAGGGACAATTGAAACTAGAGGGGCCAAAATAATTATACAAAGGGCTTAATTGTAGAAAAATTAAAATGAATGAGGATCGAATTGAAATGGGGGAAGTTGATGATAGGAGGGACTTGGCAACTTGGCCACATACCATTTGAATTAAATGGTACAAACCACTATTCCTCTCCTTTCTTTTGAAAGGGAGGAACGATAGCATATTGTGGGTTTGTTATAGAACGTAGCAACCCCTTATGGTCCCTACATTTTTGGATTGCCGGCTATCCCATTCTCCATTTGCTTGATCCGTAAGCTATGCTACTTTTAAAAAAGAGAAGAGAGGAGTGCGAGAAAAAGAAGGCCGACGGTTGTCCTTGGTATGACTAAGATCAAACGACCAAGCTGGGAGAGAGAGAGAGAGAGAGAGAGACATGAAGGGTTGGGATGAGCTAGGAAGCGAGATAAAAACTAAACTTTAGGGTTAGTAGAAAAGGGGGAGGAAGCAACAAGTAAAAGCATAGAGAGAATAGAATGAAAAAAAAAAAAAGAAGAAAAAAAAGAACGAGAAGAAAAACAAAGGAGAGAAAAAAGGAGAGAAAAAGAACGGAAAGCAATAAAGAAAAAAAGAACAAGAGAGGAAAGAAAAGAAAAAGAAGTAGTAAAAACGAAATAGGGGTAATTTTACAATCTAAGGGTGAGGGAAGGAAAATCAAAGGAAGAAGAGTAAAAAGTTTTGAACTTGAGAAACGAGAGAGCGTATTCGGTTGAGTCGGTGTTCATCCGCTCGTATTTCATTCTCACCTTCACTCAAGTAATCTTTTAATCTATTATGATATCATTTCTTTATGAAGCATGCCTTAGTTATTCTTTTGATGCGTTAAGTAAGTAATGGTGATTTTGTCACTATCCTTGCATGAAGCTCCCAAGCATGGGTGCACTTTTTCTTTGGTATGGAAATAATGATGACAAGACCTTGATTCTAAAAAGAAGTTTGGTGAGGATAGTTGAGAGGTTGTGGATGAAGACAATGGGAATGGTTAATACATTTTCTTAAAAGAAGGAAGATGAATGAGAAAGGGAGAGAAGGGAGATGCGTGTTTGATCCAAAAAAAAAAAAAAAAACCAAAATAAATTTAGGGTGCTATTTGTGGGTGTTAGCCCAAAAAAATATTGATCTGCGCTGATTTTAATCTAGCCTAATCATAAAAAAAAAAACAATAATAATAATGTGGGCTTGGTCTAGCCCAACCCTAAGAGAAAGTAAAGGTCTGGACAAGCCCGGCTAAACCACAACAAAGGTTGGCTTATCTACCGAGCCGACTCAATAGGTCTAACCCAATGAGCCTAGCTCAATGGGCCTACTACCCCAAAAAGATGTTATATTTTTTGAAATTTTTATTTTATTTTAGATGATTTATCATGAATGCTTATTTATGTATGTTTATATCTTGTTTAATTTACACTTTTTATATTCCAATCTTTTGTGAATGTTACTTAGTTAATTTTAATTTCCACAACTAGTTTACATAATTAAATGATAGATGAATTATTGAGTCTTCTAATTTTTAGGGACCGATGACGATTCTTTATTGAAAAATATAAAAAAAACATAAAAAAATAAAAAAATAAAAGAAAAAAATATTTTAATTCTTTTTTACTTAGTTTAGATAATTAAATGATAGATAAATTATCAAATCTCCTAATTTTTAGGGCTAATGATGATTCTCTATCGAGAAAAAAATATTAAAAAACATAAATATAAAAATATAAAACATATTTTAATTCTTTTTTTTTTTTAACTTAGTTTAGATAACCAAATGATAGGTTAATTATCGAGTCTCCTAATTTTTAGGGACTAATGACGATTCTCTATCGAAATATATATATATATATATATATATATATATATATATATATATATATATATATATATATATATATATATATAGATGAACGAATTATCGAGGCTCCTCATCTTTAGGGACTTATGACAATTTTTCATTGAATTATGAATAATTAGATTAGTAGTTATTAGGTTGGCGAATTGTCAAGTCTCCTAAATTCTTAGGGACCGATAACGATTTCCCTTCGAAATGTCAATAATTAGTTTAGATAATCAAAAGATAGGTGAATTGTTGAGTCTCCTAATTTCTTAGGGATTGATGACAATTTCCCCTCAAAATATCAATAATTAGTTTAATAGTTAATCGATAAGAGAATCGTCGAGTCTTCTAAATTCTTAGGGATTGATGATGATTTTCCACCGAATCATAAGTCATCAATATTTAAATTGGATCCAAAAATTAGAGTCTAAATCGAAAATAACTTGGCACAAATAAAATACCTTTAAGGGATAAATTTAGGACTAAATTAAACGTGATACCTTTCTTAGGAAAGGGCGACTTTGAGTGATTGATATCTTCCCAAAGCTTAACCAACTCTTTACCCAAGAATCTCTACACCAATACTTATTTTTAGGTTCCTAATTCCTTAAAATACTAGGTGGCGACTCCAAACTTGATAATAACTTACATCCCCGGAATAAGCCATAAACGAAATGCGAATGTCTAAAACTTAGAATAGAATTTTTAGAGTCCCGTCCGACGTTATGTAGCGACAAAGATAATATAAATCAATTTAAATACTTTTAGCTAATTAGATACTTTCTCAACATGCTATTCATGTCATGACATAATTGGATCCAATGCTAAATTAACACGACTCCTAACTTCGAGACTCGACGTCAATATAACATGATGCCACAATAATATATATATATATATATATTTGATTTGGACGATAAATATAAACTTGAAAATAAACTTAGAAAATAATTTGATAAATAAATATTTTAGGAGGTATTCATATGATTAGACTAGCTAAACTTTGTACCTTTTGTGAAAATGATGTTTTTAAGTGATTGTTATATTTTTAAAAATATAACCAACTCTATAACTCGAATCTTTGAATCTCTTAATTACTTTTAATACTAGGTGGGCAACTCTAAAATCGTTTTCTTAATTCGTATCCCTTAGCCGATAAAATTTTTAAAAATCTTCTAAATATCGAGTAGCGATAAGTATATTGATAGTGTTTAAGAGCCTCTCATTACATGGTAGTCGAATCCGAGTTTCACCGGTAAGTTTCAACTCATTGATAAAGTTTTTCAGTCCCTTTATCATAACAACAAGCATTCTAATCTTGAAGTCGGCTACTAAGAAGACTCATCCTTTTAACAACTACCAAACAGTACGAGCTCCACACTGCATATCTCTTTCCACATGCTCTGCAAAAAATTCCTGAATGGGTTCCATCCCTAGTTCACTCTCTACGGGCCCAAATATAAAAAGGGCGAGTGGTCGGATAAACCTCGATTTAAGATCAACTAATTTACAAGCATTGAACTAGAGCATTAATTCGATACCACTAAAAGCTTGATCAATTTTACTCATAGAATATGTCCGAAACCAAGTGAAACGATCACCAACTCGAAGATATTAAACTACATCACAATCATTAATGAAGTCGTTAAAAGTTAGGAAACCACTCATTTTATCACTTGCTTAGAAGAGTTTCATTAAAATCACCGAGTAGAATCCATAGATCTACAAATGCTAACCTAAGAAGCATTAACTCCTCCCATAGTAATTTTTTTTATGAGTTAAATACATTGGTATAAACACTAACTACAACATATATATATATATATATATACTCACACAACACAAAACATTCCAACCGAGTGCCAAACTCAACATTGTTTTCTTTAAAAAAGTAGCACTTTGTTATGCTTTTTCTAAAATGTTGTGGTTCAAACAAAAGATTTTGTCGTATGAATATTTTTTTCGGATGGACTAACTGGTTTTCCAAGTATAAATTTGAGGTGAATCACATAAGAAGACATAATTAATGTGTTGAGTGGTTTTCTCTCTAGAAATGTTTACCGAAACTATGTCAAACCCCAAAATCCTCCTTTGGCGGTCAAAATGCTTGTTTTATGTAATTACAAACTCTACAAGAAATCCACTTGTTTCTTGGAAGCTTGTCAAATTAAAAATTTTGTTAACTATTAAACGATGATAAATATTAAGAAAATGTGAAATAGACTGTCGTCTTTTCCTAAATGTTACGGTTTGGGAAAAAAAATTTGTCTTCTAAACAACTTCTTAATTAAATGAGTTGATTGGTTCTTCAAATATAAAATTAAAATAAATTACGTGCCAAAGTCAATAGTGATTGGCTATTGAGAACACACCTCATGCCAAAATTATTCACAAAATATTGTCCATTACCATTCCACATTTCAACTTTATGTGCTATGATAGTTTCATTGTGACATTTTCTTTGTTACGTCCCTAGGATAGTTTCAATCTTAGTTAACTCCGTTCCTCAATATTAATGTTGAACACTTCTTGTTGTAATAACCCAAATTTTTCTTATTTTTTATTTTTTATTTATTTTATTTTTGTTTTTGTTTTTAATTTGAAGTTTATTAAGGAAAAAGGAAAAGAAAAAAAGAAAAGAGAAAGAAAAGGATGAAAAAAGAAAACGAAAAAAAAATGAAAAAAATGAAAAAATTTTATTTAGGGGTGTAATCGAGTCAATTGAAACGTTTAGGCCTTAAATTGCACCTCCGGGGACCTAATTGTTGAGATTACACTGAAATTATTTCACAAAGGGGCGTAATTGCTGAAATTGAAACTCGAAGACCAAGCCGAAAGTTTGGAGCGAACGACATGTCGTAATGGAGCAAACGACACGTCGTTTGCTCCAAGCGCATTCTTTCCAAAAATCTTTGAGAAAATCTGCCCAAATCCTCTATGAATTTCGTGTTTTTAATTTTGTATTAATCATGGATTTTGTTGCCGAAACCAACACTAACGAGGAATCAATGAGAATTTTCCGTTTTGATTTCACAATTAATCTCGAATTAAAGAGGAAGATTTTGACGGAAAATTCGGGGATTTCAATTCAATTTTAGGAAATTGTTTTGGCTATAAAATGTTTGAATTTCAGAAAGGAAAAAGAAAATTGGGGAGGAATAATTCGGGTAGAGAGGTTTCGAAAATCAAAAGCAAAAGGCTTAATTTTTAGTTTTTGGCCACTCGCATTTTCTCGGGTTTCGTTCTTCATGTTTCGGGTAACGCTTGAATGTTCTTGATCTTTACGGATTTGCGGTTTTAAATTCTTCCCATTGTTGAACTTTGAGCCTCCATCTTGAATCCATCCGAGTATCCTAGACTCATTAACGACGCCTTAACTTCTTCAAAACCATCTTGAGTGTCGTTTTCGATCCAAGTTCTTTTTATTCCCTTCAATTATCAACATCAAGCGAGATCGGAGTTGGTGTTCATCCTTTTTCCGAGTTTTTAATTCAATTGTTTCTACATTCCAAGCATTGGTTTCATAATTTTGTCTAAGGTTTAGCTTTATGATGGGCTTGTGATCAAAATCGGGTTTAAAGATTTATCTAAAATTGGGTTCTTAAGGATAGAGAAGTCTGGAAAATAGAAATAAAGGGATGAACAAGAGAGAGAAAGAGTTGAAGGCTTGGAATTGTTGAGTTTTAATCCGAAAAATGAAGAATAAAAGAGGTGGGGTTTGTTTGTGGGCCTAGGGTTGAGTTCGGTTTTCCTAACAAAAAAGAAAAGTGAGCTAGGCTGCAATCGATCCGAGCCTCACCCCACGCAAAAAAAAAAAAAAAAAAGGGGTTGCTAGGCCGGACTCGATCCCAACTCGCCCCTCCTTTAAAAAAAATAAAAATAAAAAGGGGTTGAGCTGGAATTCGCCTGACTCGTGTCCCTCACAAAAAAAAAAAAAAAAAGGAAAATGAAAGAATAAAAAATAGAATTAGGGAAAAAAAATAAGAAGAAAAAAAAGAAAAATGAGGATGGGTAAAAAAAAAAAAAAAAAAAAAAGAAGAAGAGTACAAGTGGTAGATTAATATTTTAGGTATAGGATTTTTTTTTTTTTTTTTTTACTTTCATTGTCATTTACGTTTTTTTACCTATTTATATAGGATGCTTTTTTATTTTATCCTTTTTTATTCATTTAATTTTTTTTAGCATGTTTATTTTATTTCTTGTAGTTTTTCTTTATTAATTTAGAATTTTTTTTTCAATTTTTTTTTCTTTAATATGTATTGCTAGAAAAATTATATATATGTATATATAAAAAAAAAATTGACGAAGTCTCCTATCCGATAGGGACCGACGTCACACAAAAAAAAAATGCCTCCAAAAATTGACGAAGCATCCTATTTGATAGGGGCGACGCCACAAAAAAAAAATCACCTTTTAATTAAGATGTCCTTCGACACGTCGGTTGTGTCAAGGCTTTTAGTGGATCCGATGTTTGAATCGACGTGTCACCCAATGAAGGGGACCGACGATCGTTTCGATATGATGCCACGCCCAAAACTAAAAAATTTATTCAGTCTAAAAAATAGGAGATTAAAATTTATAAAATAGCTTGACATGGATTTTAGGAGATAATTTAGAACTAAACCATACATGGTACCTTTTTTCGAAAAAGGCGCTTTTAGGTGATTTAATATCTTCCTAAAAGCGTAACCAACTCCTTACCTTAAGAATCTCCGAACCGAGTGCTACTTTAAGGTTCCTAGTTCCTTAAATACTAGGTGGCGACTCCAAAATTCTATAAATAAACTTGTAAATATTCATTTCTAATTTTAGATTATTTTTCAGGAGTCTCGTCCAATGTCGGGTAGCGACACTTGTCACCCTTCCCTAACTTAAATTTATCCTTAAAGAACATGAAGATCAACTCTATAAATACATGTTATCATATCCTCTCAACCTCATCAAACCCAACAATAATCATCTCCCAATCTAGGTCATACTTAATTTAAGTAGTTCAAACAATGTCTTCCTTCAGAACATTCACCTCCTCTTTCTACTTTCTAACTTTCATTCTACTTCTCCAAAATGTTCTTGGAGTTGACCCTCTCTTCGATAGTTGTTCAAACAAGGAGAATTCAACTGCTAATTATGGCTCTTATAAAACAAGCTTGAACGTTCTTATGGGTTCCTTCTGTCATCTTGCTTCAGCCAATAAAGGTTTTGCTCTAGGTTCTCTGGGTCAGAACAACCAAGACCGACCATATGGGCTCGTTCTTTGTAGAGGAGATATCTCATCCTCAGCTTGCAGAATCTGTGTTGCTAATGCAACTCGGGAGATCCGCAAGCGCTGCCCAAATAGCAAAGCTGCAATTTTAGCGTATGATAACTGTCTATTGAAGTATGCAAACAAGGACTTCTTCGGCCAGATTGATAACGGAAGCAAGATATATATGTGGAACGTGGAAAATGTGAGCAATCCAGTGGTATTTAATCAGAAGACTGAGGAATTGTTAAGCCAACTAGCAAATAAGGCGTCTTATAATAGTACAAAAAAGTACTATGCTGCAGGAGAGATGGACCTTGAGGGATCGAAGAAACTATATGGAATGGCTCAGTGCACAAGGGATCTTTCTAGTGTTGATTGTAAGAAGTGTCTTGATGGTGCTATAGGTGAACTTCAAAGTCTTGCCTATGGAAAAGAAGGGGGTAGGGTTATTGGTGGGAGTTGTATGGTTAGATATGAGATATATCATTTGTTAAGGCTTAAACTCTTAAGCTATTCTAAGCTTTAAGGATCAATGTCACTACTAGAAATAAGTGTTCTAGCTAGCTAGGAACACATGTAATTAAATCAGGCACCTAATATATGTAAATGAGTCTTGCTTTAAATATCGGGGAAAAAAAAGTTACGAATTCCTTTCGAAGTTCATAAACGGTGGCATTGATTATAATTTTTTTTTAAATATTTTTTGGCTATTTATTTATTTATTTGTTTCTCCTTGTTATTTAGTAAAAAAAAATTTAATTTTTTTTTTAGATATAATCATCTTAGATACATATAACGTCCATTAATAATACGATAGAGGTTCTTTAATAAATCATATTCCGAATATACCAAGTCAATTTTTCTAATGCATCCCAAGATAAGATAGGGACAATGATCTTATTAGAATACTCGTATCTATCTTTATAACCTATGATCTTGCGTTGAGAGATGCCATTTTTAGTCCAATTTATTTGTTGTGTTATTTGAATTCATGTAAAAAACAAAGAAAAAATACCATGAATTAGTTCTTAATGAAAATACTTAAATTACTTAAAAAAATTAAGCATATATAATGAGAAACAACAATAGCTTTATATTATTTTATAATATATTCTATCCAACAAACATTGCTTTCTTGTAGTTATAGTAACAATTAAATCAAAACAAGGTAAGGATTTTAGGAAGAATTTTCAGACCCTAACTATCCTTTTCGTTTATGTCAAGCGTCAAATGCATCTTCCCACATTTCCTAACTTCTTTTCATGAGACAACATATACATATTTATATAGGCTCTGTTTTATGCATTAAACAACGCTTTCTTGTACTTCGAGAAACAATCAAATTAAAACAACGTAATTTGACTGAAAGATACTGAAAACAAGATTTTGTCACATGCTTCCGAGGATTTGGTCACGGTGTATATATATATATATATATATATATACCAATGCCTTAATTTAACTTACATAAATTTAGCAATAATTTATGGCTGTACTATAATTCCTTCATATATAGATGTTTTCAGCAGAGTTATGGTTAAATTTAGGTTCTACTTGTAAAATTGAAGTACAAATTACAGTTTCCTATGCCCTTTACAAAGTGTTAGGACTGAGGAACAAAGGTCTTCACTACATTAAAAAGCGGGCAAAAAGATGTTGCATGCCTTTCAACGAAGCGTCACTAATTAATTTCTGCATAGATTTTAGCTGTGAAATATCAACAAAGTACCTCTGAAATAATCACGTAATTGTTTTTCTACATCATTCTTGCTGATTAATGGAATGAGTGAAATATACACCGTGATTGCATAATATTAATATTATTTATTTTAATCTTTTTATTAAAATTTATGGTATATAAATCATGTACAACTTAAAATTGAAATAAAACAACCATTCTATTTACCACTTTATCAATTATATAATGACATATGGTTTATAAATATGAACGAAAGAATTTATTCATCTCAATTTTGAGTAGTATATAATTTTTTTGTACCATACTTGGATATAAAATTACAATAAACAATACTAAGTAGTTTATGGATATAAAATGTAAAATTTCATCTTTAATGGAATAGCTAGAAACATTTTTACCAGGCCAATTCCTCTAGAAGGTGATAAAAATCTTAATTTTTACTTGTTTGGGTCAAATTACTTAAGTTTTATGTAATTACTTACACAACAAGAAATTAATTTACTGTTTCGCTGAAGCTTGCAGGACTGAAAATTTTTGTTAAATAGTCAAGAAACTATCATGATGTAACAAATCAAGTGGTGGAGCATGTGGTTACGCACATGAAACACAAAATAATAATGATAATAATAATAATAATAATAACTTATCTGCACAAACAGTATAACATGTGGTTTAATTCCATAAGAAGCAAAAAACCTTATTAGTGGTTGACATGCTGCGAATCCTCTTGAAAGAGAGGATTTGAGGTGAAGTGATGGGTTAGGTCTCACCCGAACTATCTACGTACCGGACATCCACATTTCAACTTTCTGTGCTATATACAACAAATAATTGTTTTTTTTTTTTCAAAAAAAAAAAAAAAACTGATGATTAATGTGGTGGATTGACATTTTCTTAATTACCTTTCCTAAGAATATTGTTACATTCTTAATTAACTACGTTACTCAATCCCCCATAATGTTTAATGTTGGACACTTCTTGTCAGCTTGAGCAGTTGGCAAATTCAAAGTTATACAAGGTCAGCCTTTCCTAACTTTAATTAACACTTAATGAACATGGAGATTAATACTATAAATACATGCTATCATATCCTCCCAACCTCATCAAATCATCTTCTTATCTATCTCTAAAACGTAAAGTAAAAATGTCTTCTTCAACATTCACATCCTCTCTCTATCTGCTAACTTCCACTCTACTTCTCCAAAATGTTCTTGGAATTGACCCTCTCTACAGTAGTTGTTCAGGCAACGAGAATTCAACTGCTAATTATGGGTCTGATAAAACGAGCTTGAACGTTCTCATGGGTTCTTTCTACCATCTTGCTCCAGCAAATAATAAAGGGTTTGCTCTTGGTTCTTTAGGTCAGAACAACCAAGACCGACCATATGGGCTCGTTCTTTGTAGAGGAGATGTCTCATCCTCAGATTGCAGAAGCTGTGTTGCTAATGCAACTAGGGAGATCGGCAAGAGCTGCCCAAGCAGGAAAGTTGCAATCATATATTACGATAACTGTCTTTTGAAGTATTCAAACAAGGACTTCTTTGGCAAGATAGATAACGAAAGCAATTTATGCATGTTCAACGTCCAAAATGCGAGCAATCCAGTGGTATTTAACCAGAAGACTGATGAATTGTTGAGCCAACTCGCAAACGAGGCTTCTTATAACACAACAAAAATGTACTATGCTGCCGGAGAGATAGACCTTGAGGGATCGAAGAAACTTTATGGAATGGCTCAATGCACTTGGGATCTTTCCAGGGTTGATTGTAAGAAGTGTCTTGATGGTGCTATAGGTAAACTTCAAAGTCTTGCTAATGGAAAAGAAGGGGGTAGGGTTCTTGGGGGGAGTTGTATGGTTAGATATGAGATATATCCATTTGTTAGGGCTTAGACTCTTATGTTATTCTGGGCTTTAAGGATCAATATCACTGCAATAAATAAGTGTTCTAGCTAGGAACGAAAGCAATTTAATTTATTTTATTATTTAATTTTAAGACTTAATTAATAAAAGTGTTTTGTCTCTATTTTGTCTCTATACTTTTCCGAATTTATTATTTATTAGAAACTCCTACTTTGTTAAAGAATAATATAAAATATTATTGCAACCTCATCAAACATCAAACGAGTCTAAACTTTTAGGCCAAAATGAATTTTTGATATGATATTAAAGTTTTAATAATCAAACGAGTTACGAATTAAAATTTTACTATCATCATTTTCTCTTCTAATTAAATCAAATATTAAAAAATACAAGGTAATAATGAATTTGCGTAATTTTTAAATCAAAATGGTTTTTACTTAAAGACTTAATAATTATATTAGAGAGTAATATAAAATCATTCTTGCAAATTTGCCGAACAATTTAAACTATTGGCTTGTTATTGTTCTTTGAGATACTATTTTTTGTATTGAATGGGTTCTTCCATTTACACGATGTTAGTTTGTATGCCTATGTTGCACATTTTTAATACATTATTGAGTTAAATTATTGACAATCCATAATTCAATAATTCTTTCATTTTTTGATATTTTTTCGTTGGGGTGAAAATTAAATGATTAAAAAAATAATATAAAAAACCTAAAAAAACCTAATTAATTAAAGAAAATTAATTTTCACGTGTTTTTTTATTACTTTTTATTTTTTAATTATATAATTTCCAAAATGAAAGATTTATTCTAATAGAAAAATGTCAACAGAGGCATCTTATGAACTCATAGTATCATGATCCAAAGATCCTTACATAACAAAATAAAGAATACAAAAAATCAATCAATACGAAAAAAAAATCTAATAAAAAAACTAAAAGATTTTAGAAACTAAAATGGGAGTTATTCCATTTAATAAAATGGTATCTTTTATTATTTGATTAATTTAGTTCATACCGTTGCGATATCCTAGAATTATTAAAGTGCTGTAAATAAGGACAACAAATTATTCGGGAATCCTTTACGAACAAAAATAGTGGCATTATTTATAATTTTGTTTAACATTTTGGTAATTTATTTCTCGAATCTATACATTATTTATTCGTTTAAAACAATTTTTGTCAGTTATATTTATCCTAAATAAATATGGAATAATTTTAGAATAATTTTTCACTTTTTATGTTATAATTTAAAAGTAATTTTTTATGAATAAAAATTATTTCAGTTAAAAGGGAATCTAGAAAAAAATAAAATTAAATGAATAATTTTTTAAGAATTAAATTAGATAGTGCATGAGTTGAAATCAACTAATTAGAAGGTAGCAAAATTTTAAATTTCAACTGAAACAAAAATTTTACTCAAATTGAAAGAATGTTTTGATCATTTATTTTATAATTAAACGTACTTACAAATTTTGTCTTAGTGAAATTCTTGTCTAATTTATGCAATTGCAAACTCTACAAGAATTAAATTAGATAGTGCAGGAATAAAAATTTTGCTCAATATTCAAGAAAAGACAATAGTGATTGACTATTGAGAACATACCACTTGTTTAAATTATTCACCTGAACTGTCTATCAAACATGCGTCCAGATTTCAACTCTGTGTGCTATATACAATAAATTCAAATAAAATAAAAGAGATCATTGTGTTTGATTTAAATTTTCTTAATCACCTTCCTAAGATTGTTTCATTCGTAATTAACTACATTCCTCAACCCCATTAATATTTTTGAACACTTCATGTCAGCTTGAGCAGTAATTAGCAAATTCAGAATTAGACAAGGCCAGCCTTCCCTAACTTTAATTAATCCTTAATGAATATGGACATTAACAATATAAATTAATACGTGCTATCATATCCTCCAACCTCAACAATAATCATCTCCAGCTCATAGTACTTCAAACAATGTCTTCCTCAATATTCACTTCCTCTCTATTTTTGCTAATTTTCACTCTACTTCTCCAAAATGTTCTTGGAATTGACCCTCTCTACAGTAGTTGTTCAAGCAAAGAGAATTCAACTGCTTATTGTTATTTATTTATTATTTCTGCCAATATTTTAATTATTAGTGTAGGCTATCTCAAAATTTTAATATTCAGGCCTAGTGTCCAATTTTATTTTAATCTGAAATTTTTAGAATTCATACCTATGCTTGTCCTTAGTTTTTTTTTTTTTTTTAATCATATAATTTTAGAAATCTATTTGCTATTTTTTTGCAATTTACTTATTGTTCTACTATTATTTTAATTATTAATATGAGTTGTTTCAAAATTTAATTTTTTAAGTCTAGCGTCCAATTTTATTTTAATCTAAATTTTTTAAGAATTTTACATATACTTGTCCTTAGCCTGTTTTTTAAATCTTTTAATTTTGGGATTTCATTTTTATTTGTTATTTATTTATCATTCTCTCATTATTTTAATTATTAATATGAGTTGTTTCAAATATCTAATTATTTGGTCTAATGTCTAATTTTATTTTAATCTGAAATTTTTAGGGTTTATACATATGGTTGTCCTTAGTTATTGCTTTAAAGTTGGTAATTTTAGCGGGCCATTTACTATTATTCTGCATTTTATATATTATTCTGCTATTATTTTAATTTTTAGGAAGCTTTATTTTGAAATTTAATTTTTTTTCCAATTTCTGATTTCGTTTTGATTTTCAAATTTTAGGGGATATGTATATATATACTAATGGATTGTTTGTAAATTTTTATTGAATTTAGATTTTGTTTTGTTTTTATTTCCTTATTTTTTATTTTATTTTATTTTTGTTGTGGTTCGCTTATTATTTTTCTTATTAATTATTTAAAAATTTTAAATTCATTTAGCAAGATTTGAGATTGTCAAATCTTCTAGGTTTTAGGAAGTGATGACGAGCTCATATCAAATTTAATTTACAATCGAAAAGAATACGTTTTCTTAGGATAATTTGAAAAATTTAAGTCGACCTAACAAGTCTCTTATTTAAATAGGGACGGATATTAGTCTAAACCCTCAATCAATAATAATAATAATAATAACAGAAGAAAATTAGTTAGAATAAATATAAATCAATTTAAATATTTTTAGCTAATTAGATCCTTCCTCAACGTGCTATTCATGTCATGATATAATTGAATCTAATTTTAAATTGACACTACTCGCAAGTCTGAAATATATGTACATACACACACTGAAATATATATAGACACATGCAAAACAATCCAATCAATGCAAAACTCAACATTGTTCACTTTAAAAAAGTAGCACTTTGTTATGCTTTTTCTAAAATGTTGTGGTTGAAACAAAAGATTTTGTCATATGAATGTTTTTTTTTCAGATGTACTAAATGGTTTTCTAAGTATAAATTTGAGGTGAATCGCATAAAAAGACATAATTAATGTGTTGAGTGGTTTTTTGTCTAGAAATATTTACCGGAAACTATGTCGAAGCCAAAAATCCTCTTTTGGCGGTCAAAATGCTTGTTTTATGCAATTACAAACTCTACAAGAAATCCACTGTTTCTTGAAAGCTTGTAAAATTAAAAATTTTGTTAACTATTAAACAATTATATATATATATTTATTAAGAAAATGTGAAATAGATTGTCGCCTTTTCCTCCATGTTACAGTTTGGACAAAAAATGTTGTCTTCTAAACAACTTCTTAATTAAATGACTTGACTGGTTCTTCAAAAATAAAATTAAAATAAATTACGTGCCAAAGTCAATAGTTATTGACTATTGAGAGCATACCTCATGCTTAAATTATTCACAAAATCCTGTCCATTACGATTCGACATTTCAACTTTGTGTGCTATAATAGTTTCATTGTGGTTGATTGACATTATCTCTATTACCTCCCTACGATAGTTTCATTCGTAGTTAACTCCGTTCCTCAATCCTCCCATAATATTAATGTTGAACACTTCTCGTCACCCTTCCCTCACTTAAATTTATCCTTAAAGAACATGAAGATTGTCATAACCCAAAAAATATCTTATTTACAGAGTTAAATTTTATTTACAAATTTATTTACAAGTTCGGAATCGCCACCTAGTATTAAAGAACTAAAAATCTAAAAGTAATACTCGGTTCGGAGATTTTCGAGTAATGAGTTGG